ATATTTAATATTTAATATTTTATAATTTTTTAAATTAAAATTTATATATTTATCTTTTAATTATAATAATTATAAATTTTTTAACTTAAGGGCAAAATAGTAATCTTATATAATTATTAATTAAAAAATTTATTTTTATTTATCACATCAATCAATTCACTCACAAACTTTCACAAACTTTCTCTACACTTTCCACTCACTTTTCCTTAATCCAAACAACCTCACTTTCTACTCACTTTCTCTTCAAATATCTCTTTTTCCACTCCCTCTTTTCCATCCTCAAATCCAAACAAAGCTTAAGTTTCTTCACCTTTCTTTGCTCATGAATAATAAATCCCTGGAAACAAACACTACCTTGGTGATTTGAGGCATACGAAATTCTAAAGTAGTCTTTTGCTGAAAACCGAGCATATATGCTTTCCTTAAGCCTTCACAATTCATGGAGTACCAAGAAAATTTATATTATTTACTAAGTTATTTCAAAAGGTGAAAAACATTGCGCACTGCTAGGTTACTTCACATTCACGCGAATACATAGATCTTTTGCAGTCATAGTTTTAATTGCATAACTCTCGGCGTTTCGAAAAGATTTGTTTTTATACTTTTTTTTAATAGTCGTTTTGTCAAAATTTGTTATTTTTTTTCATTGTCATTTTACTAAAATCAATGACTTATTAATTTTTTTTCTCCATTTTTACCCTTGATAATTAATACATGTTTACTGAACAATGTGTATTTATTTTTAATGTCTACCTATTTTTTTTCCAACTACCTATATAAAGTTAATGTGCATTTATAAGAGTAATATGTTCCCAACAAAATACTATAAAAAAACAAAAAAAGGGACAGGTATAATTAAATACAGTAGGTTACAGTTCACGTGTAATCAATGCATTAATAATTAATGGAGTAGATTGCAGTTCAACAGTCTCAAAAATGCAAAAAAAAATAAAGGGTAAAATAGGAAAGTAAGTAATAAATATTTTTGAAAACTAAAATATCAATGATTTCCTTAAGTCCCGTGCAAAACCTTAAACGATTATGAAAAAAAAAAACGAAGGGAGTATTGAATTAAAGCATGAAAATCTCATTTGAAAAGTCATGGCGGATGGATTTAAAAGTGCACCTCATGTAGTTTACTCGGGAATCTATTTCTCATAAATAACATCTTGATGTAAGAATATAACATAACAACTATGAAACAACACTTTTATAGTTCTACCCTATTACATTTTCATGCTTTATTATATCTACCATAGGAATTCATAAACCATAACACAACATAGGTATCTAGAAAATAGTAAAGGTATCATAAAACATTTCACAACCCAACTCTTCTCGTTTGCTATTGCTAGTCATCATTTTCAGCTTGTTCACTATCAAATGGGAGTGAAAGTAGAGACTCTGTATACACGGTCATTGGAAATCCATTTGGACAATCATAATAGTATTGACGCTCTAGCAGTTGTCCCTGAGCATCACATTTCACCAATGTAGTACTCCTAAGTTTTCCAACAATATCACCACCCTTTGTAGAGCAAATTAGAGTGAAGTATCGAGTAGGAACCTGATCAACAGACACAACAATAATCTTAGTCCAAGATGATTGCACTCTATATTCTTCCATCACCCATATTTCTGCAGGACAATGATGCCCCACAACACATAGACTGAGAAATTCTCCAAGCACCCCCAAATCACAAAAATTAAAGTCACAGTTCTCCTTAAAACCAATCGGGAGAGGAACCTCTGTAAAATTCCTTTCCATCAAATCAAAAGCAAGAATAAAATGTTCTGGTACATTATAACGATAAGTCAACCAATGAATAGCATTAACACCATTCAAGAGGGACCCATTTCTTCTATCATTCCAATTGTTAATTTTGGACAAATTGATCCCCTCCATTTCTTTCCATGCATTATCTTTGAGTGAGAAAATCTCCACACGGATTAGACCATAAAGGTTGCAGGAGGCTTGAACCACAATGTAATCATTAGTTGAGGGGTCATACCCAAAACCATAAAGGAAAATGAAAAACATACCCATTAAGACAGTAGGTGAAGAAGGTACTTTCTTGTGGGCACCTGTGGATGGGTTCCACACCCAGAGACTTTGACAGCTATCCAAAAGCACAAACCCTCGACAAGAACCACGAATTTGAATATCACAAGGTTTTGGGGGCAAAAATTCAAGCTTTAATGCAACAGAAGCAGAATCATCTTGAAGGGGTAGGTTGAAGTCTATAGATCGGGCTTCACGAGTGCGAGGCACAAAGAACACAAGTCTCTCAGTGTGTGGAGTATCTAGTTCAAAGTGCGATGTTGTGAAGTGTGGATCAGAGATAAGTGAAAGCCATGACTTACACACACATTTGAAACGACTAAGAGACTTGACTGGTAACTTCAACAAGATTTCAATTATCAATTCCTGCGGAAGAAGCTCGGTGTTCTTTCCTCTCTCTTCTATTATGTGATTATCCCTTTCCATTTTAAGGTGCTTGGTTATTTTGTGTCTCATATATATAAAAGGGAGATTTCCTTATCTGGTACTCTTCCCATGGTTATTTAGTACTCTTCCTCTCACCCCTCCATCCTTCAAGTATAATATATATATAATCAAACAAAACAATGAATAACATATAACCAAACACACAGTAAATTAAAATTAGCAAATTGAGTATAAAGTTACCTGTATTGAAGCACTCAAAATACTATTTGTGGAGAGAAAATGTTCTATTATAGATCAAAGAACATGCTCCAAAATAATTTTATAGCAAAATAAAAAGAAATCTTTTGTAATGAGGGAGAGATGATTTCTTCTCTGTACTAAAAAGTTGAAATATATAGACCCAAATGTAGTTATGATATCAAAAATACTTAATGTAGAGAGAGAATAAAAATAAATGCAAAAGTAAAGAATAAGTAAGATAACGTAAAGAACAATTAATAAAATGAAGACTTGGTCAAATTCATTGAACGAATGAATAAATAAATATTAAATAAAACATTAAAAATGAACAAAAAGACTTAATTTACATATTATAAATCACAAATATACCATTTTTTCTAACATTATCTCACCAATTTAAAAGTTAAATAAAGAAAATAATAGAATATTAAAATACGAGGAAAACTTTAAAACAATTTTAATGGAGCATGAGATGTTATATTTTCATTACAAAGTGTTTTCTAGGTGTTGGTCCCTATTAACTAGAATCTAGAAAGGGGGGTTGAATAGATTTTATCCTAAGATGACTCTATTTTTGAAATTTCTTGATTTTAACCTACCAAGATATTCAATAATTAACCTTTAATCAATTTGATTTAACAAATTACAGTAGATTACAAGGTACAATACCAATATATCAAAATTTCAATGTTAACGTAGCTAATCAGTCACTTGTAATCAAGGTTGATTTTATATTACCATCTTCTTAGTCAATTTCAATGACAAAAATAATATTCAGAGTATGTGTGGTGATTGAAATAACATCTCATAAATCTTTGAATTCTTTAATCAGATTTATAACAAGATTGTTCAAGAGATGTAGGTTAAGAAGATAAGAACACATAAATTTATACTGGTTCAACCATCCACTTAGCCTACATCCAGTTTTCTATGATTTAGCACTCCACTAAATCAAATATCATTCACTTTAATATTGTTTACAAATACTATGCACACACAATATTACAAGAATGCTAACACACCAATCTTGACACTACAAGATTGAAAATTATATAAATTTCTACACCCCACAGAAATTACTTGAGAAATTTCACTCAAGATTTTAAGATCTCTTGTTGAGACATCCTATCTCAAGAGATACACCATACAAAACAAAAATACAAATTAAAAGATAAAAAAGATATCACCTATTTTGTGTAGATATTGATCTTTCACAATTGAATTCACTTCTTGAATTTCTTTTTTCAAAAACACATGTTCAATCTTTACACTTCTTAGTATTTTAGAAAATTTTCTTTGATCAGCCTTTGATTCTTGTTTCTGAAAGTATTCTTTTTCTCTAATGTTATTTTTCAAAAAGATTCTCTTTTAATTTCATAAAAGATAGTTATTAAAATTGCAAGCCATAATTTAGTTATAAAGAGTCATAACGAAAGTAATCTGTTACCTGATATGTTAATTAATTACCAGTTCATCTAAAAATTGAATTTAGAACATAAAGGGTTAAGGTAATCAATTATAGGATATGGTAATTGATTATCCCAAGCCTTTCAGAAGCTAGAAATGCATTTCATTATGCGATAATCGATTATTGATTGTGGTAATCAATTATCCTAATGAAAATTTTAATTCTTCAACCTTTTCTCAAGCAAGAGGTTCTATTTTAATCTATTACCAGCTCTGGTAATCTATTAGCACAAAAGGATGTTTGAATATCCTTTTCACGTAACAAACTTGGTAATCAATTAATTGATTAACGATGTTACCTTGAAAACTCTTGTTTGAATCAAGATATATTTCTATGTTTAAACACTTGTTAGTAAATTACCTTTGCATGATAATCTATTACTTTATGTTTATACATTGAAATATTAAGTAATCAAGTTCTTGGTTTCTTAAAAGTTTGATTAGTTCTTGAATTAAGCATTCATCATCATCATCATCAATTATAAACAAACATGCACACATGCCTATATCTATTACATTCAATACATTATCTTTTTTCATAGGCTTAAGCAACATCTATACAATACATCATCAAAACTAAAACATTCTTCAAGAGCCTTCAAGATGTCCCATCATCTCAACACTAGGTTTGAATCCTATACCTAGTTTATATGAACTTCCAATTAAGGAAATATAGAAAAATGATTGTCTTGACTTACATTCCTTTTAATAAGAGTTTGGCACTTAAAACATATTATAAGTGTCCATTTGAGTTCTAATAAGTGATTTTGTGTTATGACTTTTCATGTACACGTGTGTGAAGGGATCATGCCCAAGGGTCATGTCCAAAAAGAACTATGAGGAGTTGGGTAGGCATAAAGGAGGAAGGTCCAAGTTCATATTGAGCTTTGAGTTACTTTTTGTAGTCCATATCTTCTCTATGTAAATATCTTCTTTGCATTTCTTTCTTATATTTTGACCTTGTATTTTATATCAATTAGAATAGAAATATTTTTCTTGTAATTTTCTTATTTAGGGGTGCACCTAATATTCTAGGGGGTGCAACTAGTAATTGAAAAATGTGCTATTTGAGCTTTTTTGGGCCAAAAGAGGGAAGAGAACATTCTTTGCTAGAAGTGGAGATCTTTTTAGCCCTCCATACTCTTCCATAGGCTCCACAAAATCTCCACCTATTCACATGTCCATGCTTAATCATTCATTTTGTATGTTTGCTTCTACACCCCTTTTCTTACTCCCACACCCCCATCACACCTTGCACACTATGCCACTTGTATAAATTTCATTGGCTAGTGTGTATCTAATGATTAGAGAGCCAAATTTCGAATTTCAAATTTAAAATTCAAATTTTGGATAACCTTGGTTAGTTAGCTTGAGTACAAGTTAACTAAACCATAATTTACTTAACTTGCACCATTAGCTAACCAAGCCTATATATAGGTGTGAGCTCCTTGTATTTCATGACTTTTGAGCATATATGAAACTGAGATTGAGTTTTCTCTCAAATTCAAGGGTCTTTGAATTCCTCTCATAGAGTGTAACTTCATATACAATTTTTATCAAGGATCCTTTCCTTGTGATGAGTTACCTTCTAGACTAATCTTCTCCATGAGAAGTGGTGTCTCCATTCCTTGTCTCCATTTTCAATTTTCTTCTTCAACAATGCACCTCATGGATGCAATATCTTGGGAGAGGAAGAAGATTTGAAGAGTTCTTCATCACTTTTTGAAGTAGAGATCAAAGACTTCTAAAAGTGGAACTGTGTGCACTGATAATTCTTTTTATGGCTGAATTTCCCTCTCTAGATGTTGCACTTGGTTCAGACGTACTATACCAATATGTGCATAATCACAATAAAGGAAATAAAGCAATAGTATTTATAACATCCACAAATTATTCGAGCACTTATCATATATATTTTTCAAACGCTTGAATATGCTTGTTTAAGGTGTGAAACATTAAAATAAGCTTTGGACTTGTGAAAACTTAAAGGATGTAGACACTTGTCACAATGCATTGAAAATTAGATATAAACGCTAACTACCATACTTATTACATGTTACAGTTGCCTTAATTTTACGTGATGGTTGAAAAAGTTATTTAACAAAAAACATTTTGTTCTTCATTCTTTCTATATTCTTGGTCGCATGATTCCGTAAATGACTTGTACAAAATATTAGCCACTCAACACCATTGCTTTGCTAAAAGGAAAGGTCCCAAGATACCCATGCCCCACAATGCGAAGGGCTAAGGGGCGTTTATGTTGTGCAGTTCTTCGACTGACTTGCGTATGAGGTTTCTATGTTTGAGACACCACATGCATTTTTTTGACAAAATTTGCATAGTCCATTCGGAGCGTCAACCATAAGTAACCCGCCTTTAGTATTTTGGTTGCCATTATTTTCCCCCTCGAGTGAGATCTACAAATTCCCTCATGGATATCTCTCATCACATAATTGATTTACTCAAGGGTGATGCACTTCAACATGGGGGTTGAGAATCCATGTCAGTAAAGCTCCCCTAGTAGCCTATGATTTGACCTTTTTGGCTATTATTAGATTGCTCGATAGAGTCTCATTTTTTGTAATGAAGTTATAGGCATCAGTTATTCAATACTTGTCTTGTTCTTTGGGTTGCATGCACTCCTTTTTTGAAACACTTGGAGTCAGGAACTCTTGTTGTATGAGCGTTCCTTTCAAGTTTATGATTGCTAGCAAGTCGAGCCAATTAGTCAATTCATTCGTTGTTTCCCCAAAGGGTGCGATTAACACAAACTTGCTCAAAGTGTTATCGCAATTTCTGAAGAGGTGATAATACTTCAACAACTAAGGATCGATAACTTGAAAGGTTATATTCACTTGTTTAGTGATGATCTTATAATCGCTCCAACATGGTAGCTTTCTTACCACTACGTCTCTAGCTAATCTAAGCCCAATAAGAAATGCTTCGTACTCAACTTGGTTTTTTGATGCTTTGAAGCCAAAACGCAGGGATCACTCTATCACCAAATGATTAAGCATGTTCTTAATGATTCCAACTCCATTGTCTTTGCTATTGGATAAATTTTCCACATGAAATGTCCATTCGTCGATGGAGCTTATTGACAAATTTCGCCAGAGTTTATGCTTTTAAGGGGCCTTTCGGTTCAAATTGAATGTCAAATTTTGATAGCTCGATCGACCATGCCATTATTTGACCATCTAACTTTGGCTTTCTCAACACTTTAATGATGGGGCAATCATTTCTCATTGTGACACAATTACTTAAAAAGTACTACCTCAACCATTGTGTTATGTGTATTAAGTTTAAAGCCACCTTCTCGATGAGTTGGTATCGAGTCTTGACATAGTGCAACATTTTGCTAACAAAGTAAATAGATGTTTGGTCTTTTTCAATTCCTTGTATTGTTAGGACACTCATTGCCTATTGAAAGGTAGATTATCAGGTGTTATAAGGTGTCTAGTTTGGATAGCACTAGTGGAGTGGCTAAGGCTTCCTTGAGCGCTTAGAAGGCATTTTCAGATTATGGGGACAATTTAAAAGTATTGACCTTCCTCAAGAAATTCATGACTCTCTTAGCTCTCTCGGAGAATTTGTGAAGAAAATAAGTTAGGGAGACCAACCTCCTTGTTAAT